CTCTGTCGGCGGGGAGGGGCAGCGACTGCCAGCCGTCCCACTGTGCCCACTCCCCCCGCCTGCCTGAGAGCGCCGGAAGCGGCCCCCTGCTGGAGAAGGCGGTGTAAGTGCCCGAGGTGAGGGATCCGGTGGGTCGACCTGGGGATAGAGGGAAGGGGCTTGCGGTGGGGGGAGGGGGGCGCGGTGGAGCGGGTCAGGCTTCTGCTCTTGAATGCACGCAGTATGGGGGGGCTGCCCCACCCTCTCTCCTCAAAACTGGGAGCACTCACTCCTCGCGGGAGAAGGTAAGTGTGGGCCCCAGGTCCCAGGAGGCCCCTAGAAAGAGAAACTCTCTAAGCCCAAACCAGCTGCCTGGGGCTGCTAGGAACCAGTACGGGTATCTTCATGGAGGGTAGGAGGAAGGGGCCCCTCCCTTGCAGCCCCCAATCTTCCTTCCAGGCCCAGGCACCAAGACAGGTTGAATGATTCCAAGACCCGGTGGGGGACTGCTATCTGGGCTGGAGCTGACTCAGGCTTGCCAGAGTCCACCAGGCCCAGACCCTCCACTCTGGTACATTCCTGGGCACTTTCACCTACCCCCTTCCCCACAAAGTCCAGCCAAGGAGGTTGGGGCTGAGGTCAGGGTCCTGAAGCCAGAGACACTAACCCAGGCCTGCTCCTCCACTTACCTGCTGGGTGAGCTCCAGCAACTCAGTTCTCTTTAAGCCTCACCTTACTCACCTGTTTAAAAAAAAAAAAAAGTCATCCTTTTTTTTTCCCCTGGGGTTTGCCATAAGGACTAGGGAAGACCCCATGTGTCAGATGTCCAGTTGCTGGCAGCGTTTAGGCTGTGTTCATGCCCTCCCCATCATTTCACCTTCACTCAGGGGATCCTGAACTGGTGAAAGCTACCTGGAGAGTTGACCTGTGAGATCCCTCCTAGCTCTGAGGTGTGAGGTGCCTTTAGGGCATGTGTGCCTGGCCTGACACTCCCCACAATTTGTGGGAAGAGTGTAAGAAGGTAGGCTGTGTGGCCAGAAGAAGGCACTATGCCCCACAACATGCTCAGGCCCTTGGTTTCTGGGAGGGGAGGGGCAGTGGGTATGATGGCTTTCTTGGCTCTAAAGCAGGCACCCCCTCAGGAGCCTGGAGGCTGCCAGAGCAGCAAACCTGGGCATCAAAAGCAGGCACAGTGGGGCGCCTAGGTGGCTCAGTCGTTAAGCACCTGCCTTAGGCTCAGGTCATGATCCCAGGGTCCTGGGATCGAGCCCCGCATCGGGCTCCCTGCTCAGCGGGAAGCCTGCTTCTCCCTCTCCCACTCCCCCTGCTTGTGTTCCCTCTCTCTCTGTGTCTCTCTCTGTCAAATAAATAAAATCTTTAAAAAAAAAAAAAAAGCAGGCACAGTCGTAACAACAGCAACCCACCCCCGCCCCCATCCCAGCTGCCACATCAGCTCCCAAAGTCCAGACTCTCAGACCAGCTACCTAGGAGCCTTCTTCTTGAGCTGATCTGGCTGCCAGAGGAGCCTTGGAATTGTCCTGCTCCATCCCCACCCCCCAGCCAGGACCTCTGGCCCCACCCTCCTCTAGCTTTAGCGAGCATCAGGACCAACCTTGGATCCCTCCCCAGCAGTCCCAGGGCCGCCCCATTGAGTCATTGCCTCCTGCTCCCTCCCTGTCCTTCTGCTGCCCACTGTCTGCCCACCCCCAGCCCCCAGCCAGGCCTCCTAGGAGCGCTGAGATCTGGGGGGACCTGCTGGCAGGCACACATACCCCCTCCGATACCAGAGGCAAGTAAGAGGTCCCAAGCCACAGGCCATAGCTGACCTCAGCAGTGCCGGGCACGGGCAGCAGACAGATTCAGCGTCAGGGGCAGCCTTGGTTTGTTCACTCCACATAGAATGTGCATTGTAGCTTCATGAAAACGGAGTGTACTGGCCACTTCTATACTTCCAGCACTTAACATAGGGCCTGGCATAGAATAAATGCCTAGGGGTGCCTGAGAGTGGTCACATTACCACCTGCCCTCCTGAGGCTCCCCATCCTTGAGCCAGAGGTAAACTAGAGTCACAAATAGAGACAGACTCAGAGGCTCAGTCTGAAAGGAGAACAGAAAAGGCAGAGAGCTGCACGATGCACAGCCCTAGGATGGCAAAGATACGGATAGAAATGGGGACACACAGAGGCCTAGTGGGGGAACACTGGGGGCTGGGCCTGGAACCAACCCAGGCCGCTGACCACAGCAGGCTCTGCAGGGCTGAGCTTGCAGGACTGAGGAGTGACTCATGGGGCCCATCTCTGGCTCTGCTGGCAGCAAAATTCACTCACAGCAGCCTTTTCCACTGAGATCATAAAATGGGGTTGGGCCTCCCTCCCCTACCCCTTGCCCAGCCTTCCCTCAGCCTCCCATTCCTTGCCAACATAAATCAATCAAAAATAAGATGGGGGCTGTGGGCCTAGTGATAAGAGACTCAAAGTCATTGCACTTACTCCACCCCAAACCTTGCACACTCTCTTCAGTACTGCCCCAGACAGCGAGGGTGATAATACCCCAAACTTTCCAGACTTTTCTCACTTTTGGCCTAAATAAACTCCAAACTCCATACTGGCCTAGAAAACTCATCTGATCACAAATCTTGTCTCAAATGTGTCCATCTCCCCTGGTCAAAATCCTTCCTCCTTCAAAACCTGCTTGCAGCTTAGGTCACCCCGAGGGCCATGTCCATCATCTTATCCAGTCAGGTGGTGAGCCATGGATGAGCTCCTGACTTGCTCACTCTCCTGCATCCCACATGCCTGCCTCTCCCCCAGCTGTGCTCACCTGCTTTCTCCCCCTCCATCTCTGACTAACCCTGTCTTCCCAGATGTCCAACTATCCTTAGTTACCCAGCGCCAAACCCAGGAGCCCCTCTGCACCCCTTCCTCCTGCACCTTGAGTTGCCTGATTGTGTGGATTTAATTTCTACCACCTTTCTAATCTAAAAATTCTCAAAGAATGTCGTCTTTGTGATGTCCCTCACAAGGAGCTGCTTAAGATTACAGATCTCTGGGTCCCCCTTGCTTTGCTAAGTCAGAACCTTGGGGCAGGCCCAAGGAATTTACATGGCTTTTTTTAAAGATTTATTTTTAGAGAGAGAGGGAGCGAGGAGGGGGAGGGGCAGAGGGAGAGGGAGAGAGAGAATCTCAAACAGACTTCCCGCTGAGTGCAGAGCCCCGACATGGGGCTCAATCTTAGGACCGCGAGATCACAACCTGAGCCGAAACCAAGAGTCGGATGCTTAGCTGACCGAGCCACCCAGGTGCCCCAGGAATCTGTATGTTTGACAGCTCTCAGTGATTGTGACCCTAAAATCTGAGAATGGCTGCCTGCCCTCTCCAGTCTCTTCACATCCCTAGGCTGCTTGAGCAGAGCAAGCCTCCTGTCTCCAGCCTTCCCCTCTACCAGTCTATCCTCCACCCGGGGTTTCTTTCATTCCATCTGGCACCAACTGCGTTTGAGCTCCCCAAAGCATATCACTGCCCACACCGCTCCCCAGATCACAGTTCTCCCAGGCCAGCTCTCTGCCACCTCCCCAACTCAGCAGCATCCCCCCACCCCCACCCCAGCCTGTGTGTCTCTGGCTGGTTTCTCCAGGGCACATCACCCACTGCTCCTACCTTTTTGCCATGTGTGCTCTGGGCATGCTGCTCTTTCTACCTGGAATGCATCCACCCAACTTTGCCTGTATTGTCTGAACCCCTACACACACACACACACACACACACACACACACACACACTTTCACACCCACCAGCTCCTCACAAAGCCTTCCCAGATCTCCTCGGAGTCCCACAGCACTTTCCTCGCTCCTTGCCTTGAAGTACAAGACCTATAATGGCAAACATTAACGATCCCTTACTGTGCGCCATGCTGTATACTAGGTTCTTGTCATTTTTTCATTTCATCCTGACAGCAAACTTATAAAATGAGTATACTTGCTATTCCGTCTTAGAGATGAAGACACTGAGGCTCACAGACAGTATGTAATGTGCCTAAGCTGCCATGGCTGGTGAGTGACAGCTGGACGGTTAGCTATTAGGTCCTGTCACTGCCAGCTCTAAACAATGTGAGGGCAAGGCCCAAGTCACTCCTCTTTCCTTCCCATTTTCCCTTTCGTAGCTCAGAGAAGGTAAGTGCTTATTGACTACCTGTGTAACCTTCGCAGTGTCGAGAGTCCTTCAGATCTATAGAGACAGAAAGTAGGTTAGTGATTACCTAGGGCTGGGCAGGCAGGGGATGACGAGTGACTGCCAGTGGGCACAAGGTTTCCTGGGGATAATGAAAATGTTCTAAACTTAGATTGTGATGAGGTTGTACAACTCTGTGAGTATATTAAAAACCACTGAACTATACATTTTAAATGGTTGAGTTTTGTAGTATATGTGTTATATCTCAATAAAGATGGATGTCTTCTTCAAAGTCCTTCAGACACAGTGGGAATTGAATCTGGGGCTGCTGTTGTCTAAGGGTTTTGGTCCCTAGATGTTTCTGGACCCCACACTACCCACTTTATAGTGTAAACTCGAGTGGTAAGCAGCTCCCTTGAGATTGCCCTCCCACCTGCCATGGGCAGAGGACTTCTGTTTATTTGTCCTACACCTGCCTCCAGGTTTTCAAGGAAGGCTTATCTGATCCCAGTATGTGCTGGCTGCATCTTTGGGTACCTTGGGACCTATGTTCTGGGGTCTCTTTTCCTGCTGGCCTCCCTATTTTAGAGTGGACTCCCAGTTTTGTGACCCTGTGCCCATACAGCGATCCCTGGACAGCCACTGCAGGCCCCCCACTCAGGGGACCATGTTGGGAAGGTATGAGGGAGGAGGGAAAGAGGGCCAGAGGGCCTAACAGTCCTTCCCAGGATCCCCCTCCATTCTCTCTCCTAGAAGCCCCAGGGCAGGCAGTTGTAAGGTTCTATTTGCCTCATTAGATACCCCAGTTGCCCCCGCACCCCTAGGACCCCCAGACAGATGGACACAGGACACCCATTCATCCGAGAGATGTTTAATGTGTCTTAGGTTCAAGATACAAGACACAGGGCAGGTGCTAACCCCAGAAAATTTACCTGCCACCCAGTCAGCCCCCTTCCCACTGCAGCCAGGCATCCCAGCCCCCAGAGCAGTGGGACGGTGGTCCTTTAATACCTGGCTCCTTTCCTATTTGGGGAATGTCAAGGTGGTCGTGGCCCAGAGGCCACTATCTCCCCTCCTCAGAAAATCCAGACCCAGGAATCTGAAAGATCCAGACTTGGATACAGAGCAGCTGATCTTCAGAGTGACCCCTGCCAAGAAACAGCCCTGATCTGAAGCCTGGCCCAGCCCTGTGGCCTCGATCCTGGAAAAGGAAGAACTATGGCCCCAATAACTGGTAGCAAAGGGAAGGAGATAAAGCAAGAATTGGACACAGGTTCCCACTGCCCCCCCTGCCCCCCACAAAATTGGCTGTAGGTAGCTGACCCAATAGGGCAGCAAAGCCTAAGGTTGAGGCCTGCTCCACCTCCCACCCCCATCCCTCTGAGGACCAGCCCCTCGAGGAGCCTCAGTGCCAGGGCACCGTCTTTGAGCTGATGCTGGGGAGTGGGTGGAGGGCAGGAAAGACCAGCATCAGCTATGGAATGATCCCCTTGCTTTGGGGGCAGGAAAAGCTGCCAAGAGTGACCGTAGGGGGACCCACTGAGGAAAGGGCATCAGCTTCCCAGTGCCTGGGCCTAGCCCCTAGAAGTTCTGGACTGGGTCTTGAGCCAGGGTAGGGGCCTTACTGAAATGGAAGGTGGTGAAAGGGTCCCTGTGAGGACCAGTCCAGGATACCCTTCTGACCTGCCCCAAGGAAGCCCAGTTGCTAGTTCAGGCTCCTCTGGCTCCTTGTCAGGCTAAGTGGGCTCCTCTGCCCATTGCCCAGGGAAGACTTCCCATGGGCATCCAGCCCCCTGCTCCTCCTTGAGTCCGTGGGCTACAGCCGGCCACCTTTGTTGAACTGGATGCACCAGTGGGAGTTGGCTGCGCGTGGGCTAAGGTGGGTGCGGTCCTCGTGTCCCATGAGGGGCTGCAGCTCCTGCTGCTGGGGGATATCAGCGCTGCTCTCACTGCGAGAGCGGCCCGCTTTGGCCAGGCTTGGGGGAAAGGCGAAGCTAGGGCGTGGATCGTAAGGCAGGTCGAAAGGGGGCTGGGGCTCTTCAGCGGCCAGCGGGCAAGGAGGCAGGCGGGTCATAGTCGGGGCCTGGGTACAGGGCGGGGACGCCAGGCTCTCCAGGGACGAGATGCTCTGGTTCCAGCCCGCCTGCATGTCCACGGGCACAATCTTGGTGGTTTCCGAGGACACGTAGACTGCCAGATCTCCCTGCCCACTCTTCCAGGGTAGCTCCTTCTCTGCACAGGTTGGGGAGGGGGGGATGATGCGTGGGCTTGGGCACACCTCAAGGCTCCCTGGGGACAGAGAGTACATATGCACTCATTAGTAACACAGTGGAATCCTTTTCAAGTATCACCACGTTGTCGTAAATAAATTCATTCCACATTTGCCCTAATACATCCATATGTGTGATTAGTTGATGAGGGAAAGCTCTGCATTGTATATCCCCAGCACCTGGCACAGGGCTGGGCACAGAGTAGTTGCTCAGCAAATACTGACTAAATGAATGAAGATAACTCAAGAGAAAAGAGGCGCCAGGCAGGAGGAAAGCCCATCTGTGATCAGTCCTCATCAACTTGCAGCGCTGGCCTCAGAAACCACATCCTGCCAGGCCCTGTCCCAGAGGAGACAGCATTGAGGGTGAGGGAGACCTCGAGGTTCCACGCCAAAGGCTTTGGTGCTGGACGCCCTGCCTGAGCACCCACCACAGCCCTTTGGTGCGACAGAGCCCACAAGAGTGAGCTCATGCAAACCCCATAGCAGGCGAGACGCTGTGCCGCAAAGGGGACCTGAGCCAAGGAGTCCCAGCACTGCTGGCAGCCGGCATGGGAGTCCAGGCCACTGTGTGACAGGAAGTCCGAGGTTCTGAAAGAGGAGAAGCCCCCTGGCCACCTCCCGCGCCCTGCTCTCCAAAGTCACTACAATGCCTTGCATATAACAGGTGCTCGGTCTGTACCTGCTCATTGATAAAGTCCTTCGCAGTCGAGTACATTATGAAATGTTTGGAAGTAAAACTCCCTCTCTTGAAAGACCCGGAATATTAAATTTTAACCACCACCACCACCACCAGACTAAAACAACAACAACAAAATTCAGTCTTCACCTTTGGAGGAGGCTTCCTTGGTCTGAAAACTGTTACGTGAAAGGAAAAAAAAAATCAAGCATTCATCTGTTCTTTTCTGTATGAACTGCCCGTCAAAGTAATGAAGTCACTGATGTGAAGTTTTTTTTATAGAAGAAGTGCTGGTAATGCAGATGACAAAGGAGATGGAGAGCATGACCACTGTGCAGCCCCGGATGCAGTGCGGGGGTCTGGCGATGACCGTCAGCGGCTAACGCTGCTGAACAGCTGCTGGCGAGCTTCCCAGCGGGTGGGCAGGGTTAGCACCTGAGCCCAGTGATCGACAGTAACCTCACAGAAGACAGACCCCAGAGGGGATGGGTTTCCCGCTGCGACGCGGTACAAAGTGCACCATCACCGCCACTCAAGGGTTCTTAGCAAAACATCTAAACTGACATCTGATCGAGATTTAATGACTGGTTTAAAGGAAATATAAGGCACAGTGAAACATATTAAAATAGTGCTTTGGGGATTCCATCAGCAAAATCCAGACAAGGAAAGACTGTGGGACAAATAACCAGACTATTTCCATAAATACATGGGAAGGAAAAAAAGGGAGGGGGGATCTGTAAATCAGGGTTTCTCAAACTTGACATCACTGACAAGATGGAACAGATACTTTGTTGTAGGCTGTCCCATGCGTTAGCGGACACGTACTAGCGTCCCTGGCCTCTAGCCGCTACATGCAAGCGCGCCTCTCCAGTTGGGGCGACCAAAAATGGCTCCGGGTATTGCCAAACGTCCCCTGCAGGCAAAGTCACTCCACTACCACCCCCTTGAGAACCACTGCTGTAGGATAAAAGAGACTTAGCAACCAAATGTCACGTGTGGGCCTTGTATGGATTTTTATTTGAAATCTACTGTAAAAAAAAAAAATTTAAGACAATCAGGGAAATCTGAACATGTGACAAAGACTTTAGATATGATAATGGTATTGTGAGTAATATTTTTTAAGAAGAATCCTTATCTTTTAAAGATACATACTTAAGTATTTATTGATAAGGTGATATGATATCTGAGATTTGCTTCAAAAGAACCCAGTGAAGAGAGGGGCATAGGTGAGGGGATAGATGAAATAAGATTAGGAGTAGGTAATTATTGAAGCTGGGTAATGGGTAGATGGAAGTTTACTTTATTATTCTGTCTATTGTATATTTTGCAATTTTCTAGAATAAACATTTTAGAAATGACACCTGAGGATGCTGGAGCCAACTAGCAGTGATATTATGAGTAAGTTAGGTCTCCACATACGGAAACACATATATATATATATTGTTTTTGATCCACAATAATGCCATTTTGATGAATTCAGACTCCTTCCCCAGGCCAGGCTGCCACCCTCCCCAGGGGCTCTACCTGAGGGCAGGTGTGCTGAGCATGGGTCACAACAGAGCCTGGTGTTTGGTTTGCTTGTCACCTCGTATGCCTCGCCAGACTGTAAAGGGAGGCTGGGAGGCAGTGACAAAGCTGCAGGCTTTGGAGTCAGATGGGTCAGGTTCAAATTCTGGTACTGCTGTGGGATCCTGGACAAATCCCAAGACCCTTGCGCTCTATGAGCTCGGTTCCCCGATCGTGGTTGTTGTGAGGATTGAATCAGATCAGGCATGTCAGATGTCTGACTATAAAGGAGATGCTCAGTAAATGCTGCTTGGTGAATAAGTGAGTAGGAAAAGGGAGTTGTCTGGAGGGAAGGCCATGAGTGAAGAGGGAAGATGGCAGCTGCACAGCTCCAGCCTGCCCGAGGGGGAGGGAGGCTGGGAGGAAAGCATTACCTGAGACCTTGCCCTCTTGAAGAACCTCACTGGTGGCCCGAGCCACAAAGATGATCCCCTCGTCGTCCTCCTTCTCCGTCTCTGAACTGTCACTCTCCTCCTCCGACTCCGACTCCACAGTTAAGATCACAGCAGCTGGACGGGGACAAGACTGAGTGGGGATGGCCAGCCCGGCAGCTGCCTCTTGGTGCCGCGTAAGCCCAAGCCAGCTGTCTACCCAGGCAAGAGCCCACGGCTGGCACAACCTCCCACCTTCTCCTCTGGCTATTTCAGCACTGGCCTAGGGGTTGGGGCTGGAGAGGAAGGGAGGTGGGGCTGCAGAGCCCCTCCTCAGAGGAAGCCAGAGGGGAGGTTCTACTTTCCAGCCCCTCCATCCTGTTCTCTCAGCCCCGGAGCCCATCCTCAACTGAAAACATGAGCATCTGGAGAGGTGGAAGGCCCATCAATGCTCAGCTCATCCAAACTCCTGGTTTTGCAGACAGGACACTGGGCTAGGGGACACCCACCCTTCAAGCTCCCCCCTTCTCCATGAGACTTCCTCCAAGTCCCCGGGGCCTAGAACCTGTAGTTAGGTACCAGACACCTCCTGCCACAAACTGAGAACTGCCTAGAACATGGCCAGCTTTGAAATCAAGTAAGCCCATCAGGTCCCTGAAGGGAGGAGCCTCAGCCTATGGCCCTGAATGCAGCACAGAGGGGATCCTCCAGGTTTTGGTTGATGGGCCTCTGCCCTCCCACCCCATCCTCAGCCCCACCCCCACTCCCTGCTTGCCTGTGTCCTGAAAGCCCAGGTCTCGAGGAGGTTTCCCATTTGTGGCCTCAGTGTTAGCCAAGCCATCCTTCTGAGGACCAAGAAAAAACCCCCTAAGCCTCTGATCATGGCTCAAAACCCCAACCCTGTTGTCTGGTAGGGTCTCCCTGACACAGCGGGCCTGGGAATCTGTGTCAGTCTCAGTGGTTTCATCTGCCCGGGGCGCCCCAGGCAAGTGTTATGGAGTGTAAGTAACCTATGCCCCAGCAAGGGCTCGGGATGCCTCAGCCTGGGCTGAATTAGGGACTCATGGAGCTCTCCCTGCTCCTGCCCCCAGGAACCTGCCTTTGTCTTTCTGGCTTCATTTCTGGTAGGAAGTTCTGCTGCCTCCCAGCAGGTGACCGCCCACATGGCAAGAGGCAGATCTCCCCCAGAAGGCCTCACCTTACCCTTCTGGGCCTCCAGGAAGTTGCAAAAGGGAACACAAACTATTGCACCCACCAAGGTCTTGAGGATTATCCAACTCGGGGTCCCCCTGGGCTGGACTCCAATACTTGGGAGCTTGAAACTATGCACCATCAGCCTCCAGCCCCAGACAGAAGTCCCAGAGAAAGCACGTGCCTTCTTGCGACTGGTCTTGCGAGGTCGTGGCTTGCTCTTGTTGAGGCAGATGTTGTGCTTGGTGGACTTAAAAGACTCTAGCCGCCGCTTCATGTTCTGCTGGAAGATCTCCTTGTCCTGCCGTTCCTGAGCATCCTCTGAGATGAAGTGGCGGCTGCAGCTGGCTTTGTACTGGCAATGACAGCCCCGCCCTGCCATGATGCTGGGAGCCTTGGCCTCCCACAGGAACCCAGGCCACAGCACCAAGGGCACCACAGGCCCTGCCAGCCCAGTTTTTCCAGAACCAACCATGGATTAAAAAAACAAAAAATACGATAGAAACCCAGCCAGCCACTCTGTATTCTCAATTCACTGGAGGAAAACCTTCTTTTTATCACGAACCCATTCCCCCCAAATGTGGCTGTCCCTATCCTCTACTGCCCTTCCCAATCCCCTCTGACTTGAAGTAACAAGAGGCAGGGGACCCTGTATCTTGTCCCTCAGGGCTACTATGAGACTGTGGGGGACATTCCTTTCTTAGCACTTCCATCTAGGAGCCTGGTCCCTGTGCCTGTCCCCCCCACCCCCGGTACACAGGATTCTCCCTCCACAACGAACTCTCCAGCCAGCCATTTCTGCAAAAACTTTGGACTTCTGGAACTATCTCTCCCGACACCCTGGACCCTCCTGGTCCCAACAGCCACCTGCACCCAATTCAGGACCACTCCCATCATCTGTTCCTTCCCACTCTTTCTCACAAAGACCAAGCCCACTACATAGCTACCTAGACTGCCAGATAGAAGTACTGCCGTTTGGTCTGAATCATTTCATCTGGGCTCACCTCCCCAGTACGATCGATCTTTTCCTATGCCTATTTTCTGATGCCCTGAGCCAGTTCTAAGAGCTCCCTTCAAGTCTCCCATCTACCCTCCTCTACCTAATCACCCAGAGGGACCCCTCTCTCCTGGGGGTGCCGGAATCAGCTCCCTCCCAGGCCTCCCCCTGAACCCTGGCCCCTGTTTTGCTCAGCCCACTCCTCCCTGCCTCCATCAGCTCCTGGCTCCCTCCCATTCCCCCTGCCCCAGCACCTTCCCTCCTCCCCTCACCACGCCCACCCCCTGCCTTTAAGCAGGCAGCTGCCCACACTCCCCTGAAGAAAGCCTTTCCACTGAAGCCACTGCTTCCCTTTTGCTGCCAAACTTTTATACTGTGATTCTGACACTTTCCCTCATACCCATTACTTTCTTAAAAACAGAAATATAACTCCAGGGTTCACGAGTCCATGGTGCTGCCTTCTCCCTGGTCACCAGTGCCATGGCATGGCCTCCGGTTAGGCACTAAGCTGACCTCTGTGGAGCATCCAGCTGTCCTGCCCCAGGCCTCCGAGACACCACCTGCTACAGCTCCTCTCCCCTCCTTTGCTGGCTCCCCTTCCTTTTCTCCCCTGTGGATTCCTCACAGTGTTGTCCTTGGCCCTCCTCTCTCCCCTCCAAATGTTCTCCGCAGTGAACTGGCCCTTCCCCCAGCTTCAGCTAGCCTCATGATAGAGACCACGACGCCATCAGACCAGGTGCATTTGAATCACCTGGACATTTACTAAGCCCACAGATTGTTAGTCCCTTTCCATACTACAAAATCAGAATCTCCAGGAGGTGAAGCCAGGAATATGTATTCTAGCAAGCTCCCCCAGGGGATTCTGATGTTGCCAGGGGAGGAAACCTCTGATGATAAAGATTGCTTATAAATCGTTAGTTCTAGGGGCGCCTGCGTGGCTCAGTCGTTAAGCGTCTGCCTTCGACTCAGGTCGTAATCCCAGGATCCTGGGATCGAGCCCCACATCGGGCTCCCTGCTCAGTGGGAAGCCTGCTTCTCCCTCTCCCACTCCCCCTGCTTGTGTTCCCTCTCTCTCTCTCTCTTTCTCTCTGTTAAATAAATAAAATCTTTTTAAAAAATCATTAGTTCTAGCCCTTATGTCTCTCTTAACCTATCATCTCCTATTTGTAACTGCATACTAAACACTTCTGTTTCTGATGACATTTCTCTCTCTCTAATGACATTTCTGTTAAGAACACGAAGAATTACAGATTATGTTATGGTATAACTAAGTGGACTCAGAACTAGTTGAGTAACCATACCCAAAAATGCTTGATCCATGTCAGTCTGGAGGAAAGTCTTTGGTAGCATGCCACAGGGCTCTGTCCTCAGCTCTATCCTGTTCAACATTTTATGTTGATTTGGATGAATACAAAGTTAACAGGCTTAGTAAATTTTCACATGATGTGAATCTGAACAGATATTTGGTGCCAGACATGGGATCCAAACGATGGAATGATAGGCTAAATCAAATAAGATGACATTTAACAGAGATAAGCACAATCTTACTCCAGTTTTTTTTAATTGACTACACAAGAATTGCACCCATTGACCAATCTTACATACACACATCCACAGACAACCAATCATTACATACATCCTGATGTGATACAATAAGAAATACATAGCACACCTACTGAATGTTCCTGAATCTGACCAGGCCTCTAGATTTAACTACCAGGAAATACAGGGGATGGAGGAACATGTTAAACACCACCACTGGAATACAATCAGCAAAATCCATAAAATGGGAAATTCTCTGAGACATAGTATCCAGTTTCTTCATAAATAAATAAGCAAGCGGGTGAAAAGGAAAAGGAACTATTAGAGATTTCTTCTTTAATAAAGAGACATATTTACCAAAGGCAAAGTGTGGACTTTATTTGGATCCTGGTTTAAACAAACCATCTGGAAAAAAGATGTTTATGAACACTGGTTGGATATTTCATGTGAGAAGGAATTATTGTTATTTGCTGTGAGTGATAATAGTACTACTATTATATATATGTGTGTATATATATATATAAAATATACATACACATGAATACATATAGAGAGTTCCTGCCACATAGAGACACATATTGAAATATTTAGAGGTGATATGATATGTCTGGAGTTTGCTTTAAGATAATAAAGTGTGGATGGAGTGAGGTGGGGGTACAGCATGTTACAAGATTAACGATGCACTGATAGAGGAGCTGAGCAATGGATACATGAGAGTTATTTTATTCTGTCTAGTTTTGTGAATGAGTAAAATTTGCCTTGAGAAAAAAGTAAACAAAATGAAACACAAACCCCACAGGTTGGATAAGACAGAGTTTAACAGTCATTAACTGAGGAAGACCATGGAGGTGTGTCTAATTGTAAGGATAATATGGAGCCTCAGAGTGGTAAAACAAAGCTGGGGGATTCTGAGCAGCAGGAAGAGAATGGCAAATTCTAGAGCTAGAAAGGTAAGAGAACCCCTATGCCATGCCCTGACCAACCACAGCTAGAGAAGCCTTCTGGGCCTTGTTTCTTATGACCAGAGAAGACACACCAGGGAGAGGCGATGCTGACTTGAGGGCAAGAAGGCCTGTGTGAAAGGGAACTGTCTTGGAACCTTTAAAGTCTTATTCTGCAGAGCTGCAGAGAGTCAAATTAGGACCAGTGCCACCGAGTTAAGGGAAGCCAATTCCGTCTCAATGATAGAAATAACCTGGACTGTTTCAACTGCCAGGAATGGTAACAGCTGCCTTCCCAGTTCAGACAAGTTCAACGTAATGGCTTGCTGCCCCCTTGTGGGGTTGCAGCAGATTCCCTCCCGGATGGGCTGGGCCGTCTAGCCCCAAAGCTTCCTGACCTGCGTTAGACTAACATTCTCTAAAAGAGATGCCGGCCTTCCCCATGCTAAGCTGGTCCCACAGGCTTCCTCAGCACTTCTGCTTCTGTCTGGGACCCCATCAAGCCCTCTGTAGTCTGTCCCCTCCTCTCCCCTTCAGGACAACCACCCAATCCTATGTGCTCCTCTCCCTTACCACCACCCAGCTCCGATCTGGTGTTTCAGTCCAGCCTCCCAACTGGCTCTCCCCGTCTCTCACCTCACCCCTCCAATTTGGTCTGTGCTCTGCTACCAGAAGAAGACATCTTTAAACAGTGCTTGTATCAGGCCAACCCTTTCTCAAAAAAAAAAAAAAAAAAAAAAAAGCTAAAAGTTATTACAACAAGATGAAGCCCACGCTCTTCAAGTGGGTGTTTTTAACTCTCCACTAGCTGGCGCCAACTGCCTCTTGAGCCTGTAGTCATGGCCTCCCTGACCACCCTTCCCCAACCCCCCGCCCCAGCTGCCCTTGGAACTCTCACACCGTGCCTGCTCTCACCCGGCGGCGTGGCTTGTAGAGGCCTCCACAGAGCAGATGGTGCATCACAGCATCCTCACGGTCCCGGCCGCTGCGCACTGTGTCAATCACCTGCAGATCCAGACACGCTCCACTGCCACTCTCCCTCCTGCAGGAGGCAGGGAACATGTGTGCCGGGGAGGGGCCGGGAGGCACAGGCCAGGGGGAGGGCAAAAAGCAAAGGTGTCCACATATCTTCCCCAAAAGGGATGCACAGAGAGGGCCCAGCAGAGAGGAGCTTGAGGAACTGGAAGGGGGCTCAAGGACTTACAGCAGGTTGGTGACAGAGGTCTCTGCCACAGAATTGCGGCTGGGCATAGAGGGCAGAGTGAGCCCTGTGGAGGACAAGATATGGCCTCCCTGCAGGGGCCAAGACAGAGGTCAGACGGCAATCAGATGGAGGGTGGCCCAGTCAAAGGGTAATAAAAAGAACAATAGGTAACACTTATTCTGCTCTTTGATCTTCCAGGTACTGTGCTATGCACTTTAAATATTGAATCCACAAAACCCCACGACATAGGTATTCTTATTCCTGCTTTCTTACAATTGAGGAAACTGAGGCTCAGAGAGGATAAGGGACTTACCCAAGATCACAAGCCTGTAAGTGGTAAGAATTGAACTGCATCTGCTGACTGTAGAGTCCAGCTCTTTCTCAGCTTTCTCTACTGCCTGCTAGACTCTGAATTTAGCATCAGGTCAGGCTGGTGCCTGCAGCTGCCACTTTACCAGACCATGGAGTCTGCTGGGAATTCCCAACTCCCTGCTCAGGTCCTGCCTGCTTGTCACCCCTTCCTGCCTTGCTCTGCTGGCTACCTGCCCACCCACCACTGGCTGCTGGCCCACCTGGTCCACGAAGCTGATGGCATCCCGGATGTTGAGTCTATAGTACACATCCCAGATCTGGTCCCGGATGCGGTAGGCTGACCGCCGCATCAGCAGCTGACTCAGGTACTTCTTGTCAAACTGCTCCCACCTACAGAGGACGTCAGGCCCAGCCCTGAGTGCCATCCCCAAAGCCCAGCTGGCTGGCCCTTCCTCAGATGGGGCAGGGGCACGGCCAGCACTGGCCTGGCTCTCTTGGTGTGGGCCGCAGCTGGGAGCATCTCAAAGCTAATCCCGGCCCTTATGGAACTTACAGCATTAGGGGAAAGCCTGACATTAAATTGAAGTTATTGCAAACAACTAAAATTGCAACCATAACAAGAACTACAAAGGATAGAGTATGATAGGGATTTGTCCTAGTCAGGGAGGCCAGGGAAGTCCTCCTTAGAGAATTGATGCCTATGGTGCGATCTGAAGGATGAACAGGTTAAGTAGGTGAGAAGGAGGCAAGGGAATGTTCTAATACACAGAATATGCGCAAAGGTCCCAGTGGCAGGGTGGGAGAAGCAGAGTGGGTCCTGAGGTTCTAAACCAGGATCCGTGTAATGAGCAGGCAGAGAGTCAAAGGCAGAGCAGAGCACGATGAGGCTGGGGTCTAGCACCTGCAGTACCACACAGGGCCAGGCAGGCCTCCCTGGGAAGACTTGTCTTATCCTGAGAGTACTGGGATGCCACTGAAGAGCTCCTGGCAGAGGTCACCCAGCCCAAGTCTGGCTGTGTCCCTTCTCAGAAGTGTGGCACATCCCCAATGCTGCCCTGGCTGGTGGGGCTGCTGCTGCGGAAGGAGCCTTGGGGGAGCTCCCTCACCTGTCCCTCCAGTAGTGATAGCCATGGTGCCCCACAACGTCCTCCACTGCAGCCAGAATGTGGTCAAAAGTCTAGAAGGGGGTGGGTAGGGGGACTGGATCAGGACTCTGCTCAAAATAGAAGGAAGAGAGGTATAGGTGTAGGGATGGGGTTCTGGTACCCACGTGCTCATGCAGCTCCTGGTTCAGGGTGGGTTTGTGATGCTCACTCCTCTTCACCTTCAGCCACTTGACCAGTGGCTTGATGGTTAAGCCCTATGGACAGGCAGCAGGTGAGCCCTGCCCTATCCAGTTCCCTGCTGCCCTTCTCGCCCCATAATTAGACCTCAGCTTCTGTACCTCCACCTTACTGCACTCAGGGTCTGGGAAGTCAGGTCCCTATCCCCCAAAGAGAAGAGCCCCGGTCCCAAAGGCTCCATGCCTCCCCCAGGGCCTGCCGGACCCTCTCCCTACCCAGCCTCCTGGGCTCTCCCACCTGCACAATGACTGTGAAGAAGACCACCACAATAGTGGTGGCCACAAAGTAGTCCTTGGCAGGGACCTTGGTCCTGTCCAGTAGGATGACGAGAGCGAAGGCCACAGCCCCCCGCAGGCCCCCATAGGACATCACCACCTGGTCAATCTTGTCCAGAGGGACCAGCCGGAACTGATTCAGCACCCACGTCTGCAGGACTACGCCTACAGCAGGAGGGAGGCCAGTGGGAGCAGGGCGTTGGGAGTGGAGGACCCAGGAGTGGATGGCACCAAGTATCTGGGCTAAGGTCTGACAGGGGTTGGGAGGGGTGAGCAATGGGGCGGGGGGGTGGGGCTTAGGAATAGACAAGGATGTGGACTCAAAGTGGGGGATGAGCTGGGGCAGGGCAGGAAGGAGAGTGGGAAAGCAGAGGGTGCTGGCAATACCGAGGGCTCGGAAGAACAGGATGAAGAAGAGGGTGCCCAGCACCAGCCCAGAATCCCAGGCCCACTTAGAAGAGTCCACAGCCGAGATGCCAAGCAGCATGAAGATGACGGTCTCAGCACAGCTGGCTAGAGTCTTCATTGTGTATTTGACAGCCGTGCGTGACTTATGGGAGATGTTGGCCTCCACATACTTCTTACAGCCCAGGCCACACATAGTCACACTGGGAGAGGAATGAACAGACAAGGCAAGTAAGGAGGGGTTGCAGGCCTCTGGGGTTTGAGCGTGCCGCAGGAGGGGTGCTGCCCATCACAGGATGTCAGACCGTCAGAGCTGAAGCCCAGGGAGGCAAAGAGACTGTCCCAGGATAGCTAGTGGTGGGTGGTCTTGGGATAAGGGTCCAAATCTCCAGGTTCCCACTCAGTGCCTCCTGGAAGGGAAGCTGCGACAAACATGCTCTGACTTGCATCCTCTCTGAGGCACTTTTTAAAGTGCTGTGGCCATTAGAGCTGGTGGCACCAGGACCTGAGGCCCACTTCTAGCTCAGCCTATACCCCAGAGAGTGCTTCAGGCAGAGGAAGATTGGGTTCTGAGGTGCCTAGGGCAGTTCTGGAGGCAGATCCTGAAACATTACCTGAGGTTTGCCGTCTCCCCAGGGGAGTTTGAGGCTCCCGCTACCACAAGGGCTCAGGGAAGCCTACTGCCTCCTCAGGGTCCTGCTTCTGTCCATGGAAGGGGCAACCATCTCCAATGCCCCCTCCCAGCTGCCTACATGCAAGGCCCCCACGACTCACGCAAGAATAGCAGAAAGCGAGGCCATTTCAGCAGTGAGGTAGGCTGCATAGGCGAGGAGGAAGACCAGCAGCGGCTCGATGATGCGGACCCGCTTGGTGAAGCGTGTGGTCAGGGCCAGGAGGAAGGCAAAGACTAAGCCCACGGCTGCCCCGCCCAGACTGACCAGAAACAGAGAGGCTGGGGGAGGAGTGGGTTGTCAGCATGACCCCAGGCCTGGACCCCACCCGGGCAGACAAGAGTGCTGCCTGGCAGGGAGTGGAGGACAATGCCCACTGTACTCCCCGGGGGTCAGGATCCCAGAGCCGGGATCCCGGGAAAGCCCTTCCTTCTCAGGTTCTCGGGATCCCATTTCTCCATAGTGGAGGGAAGGGAATGAGGCAACCCAACAGCCTCCTCTGTCCTGATGCAGTTGGGGGCAGGGACTCAGCAACCCAGCCAAGAGGGGGAAATACTGACCGACTCCTTTCAGGTAGTCAGCAGCCTGCACGTTGGCAGAGCCCATCTCCACAAAGGAGTTGCAGACCTTGTACAGCACCTGAGTGAGAAGAGGAGAGTCAGAAGCAAAGAGAGGGAATGCCCAACTGGGACTGCCAGGAGAAGGTGAAAACTGAGGCTGTATTTCTTCCCCAGGGGACCCAGGGAAGGGTATGAGCATGCTCAGACACCCAACTAGTCAGAGCATGGTAGCGGGGGTCAGGGAATGGCAGCCAACTGAGCACTCTCACCACAGTGACGGCATCATTGAGCAGGGACTCGCCAAAGACGATGATAAAGAGAGTGTCGTTGACGTGCACCTCCTCAAAGACAGCCAGGACGGCCACGGGGTCCACTGCTGAGATGAGGCTCCCGAACAGCAGAAAGTCCAGCAAGCTGGCCTGCACTCGAGGGGCTTTTGAGGGACAGATGGGGGACAGCAGTTGGTGAGGTATCTGGTCTCCCACAGCATTCCGTGTGACAAGCCCTGGCTCCCACCACCACCCCCCGCCCCCGCATTGTGGAAACAAGGATGCCCAGAGAGGACTTGGGATGGTGAAGACAGTGTCAGCCCGCAGGTCAGGAGACTTGAGCCTAAGGCCTGGCTTTGCCACTTACCAGCTCTGTGCTGTTGGCGCTGTCACTGTCACATGACTTCTCTTAAGCCATGCCTCCTCATCTGCCTACCTCACGAGATTGCTGCAAAATCAACCCAGGAGATGGCTAAGAAAGTCTAAGTAACCTGAAAAGTTAAGGTGACGCTGAGAATTGCAACTGCAGTAATAAGAACCACTAGCAGGTGGAAACTGGCTGCTGACTGGCCTTATCAGGGACAACAACAAGAGAGTGCTTTCTCCCACACTTGTGGTTCTCAGCCTAAGGGATGTGACACAATTGTCAGCAGGAGGGGGAAGGGCTGTCCATCCACGAGGGCTAAGTGTGATAGGAAAAGCACCCACCATGGGGAGAACTTGAATATGACATAGAATCTCTGTGAGCCTCAGTTTTCTCACGTATATATTGGGAATAATAACAGTATCTCCCTCAAAAGGTTCTTTATTTAGCCAGAGTCTCATACATAGTAAGCACCTAATAGATGTTACTTATTATTATTGTTGTTGTTACTGTTATTATTATTATTATCTGATGTTCTCCCTTCCCTTCCTGCCCCAAAGAGTTCACTCATCCATTCGGAAAACCAGGCTGGAATCCTCAAGTAGAAACTGCAAACCTCCCCTTGTACCTTGGAAGAAGTCTGAATTATCAATGTTCAGAGTTGGATGGATTTGGGTACAGGAAATGAGGAAGAAGGGAGTAGGAAGGCAGCCTAAGGGCAAGGAGCCCCAGTAAAGCAGACCTCTCCTACTAACCTTGAACCTGTAATCAAATGAGTTCAAGGCCTTCTATTTCCTCATCTATTAAGTGGGACAAATTATACCCCAACAGGGTTGCTATAAAGAGTCCATGGGATAAGTAAGGAGAGAACACTCAGTGTAATGTATTGCATTCTGTCGATGTATAATATAGATTTATCTATAATAATAATAATAATAACAACAGGGGTGCCTGGCTGGCTCAGTCATAAGAGCATGTGACTCTTGACCTCGAGGTCATGAGTTCAAGCCCCATGCTGGGTGTAGAGATTACTTAAAAAAAAATTCAGGGGTCCCTAGGTGGCGGTTGGGCATCTAACTTGGTTTTGGCTCAGGTCCTGATAGCGTCTGGAGATCCAGCCGCGCCTCGGGCTCAGCGCTCAGCAAGTGTGCTTGATTCTCTTCTCCCTCTGCCCCTCCCCACTATGTACATGCTCTCTCAAATAAATGAATGAATCTTTAAAAAAAAATGTAAGGGGGTGCCTGGCTGAACAGTGGCTGGCTCAGTGAATGAAGCATGTGACTCTTGATCTTGGGGTTGTAGGTTCAAGCCCCATGTTGGGTGTAGAGATTGCTTAAAAATAAAATTGTTAAAAAAAATCTTAATTAAAAAAAATAATAATAATAACAGAAAACCACCCTGATGTGACCTGGGCAGAGCCAGGATGGTTGGCCCTCACGGAACAGTGAATTGTGCCTCAGGGGAGCAAGACTGGCAAGTGGCAGTGTGGTAACAGAGGGCAGGAGGCAGCAGAGTAGTAATGCAGGCTTCCCAGCCTCGGCAGCCCACACACAGCTGGGAGCCAGGCCTCTGCTCAGCTGTCATGCTGCAGAAGCCCAGACTCAACTGGCAGAGGCCTAAATGAAGGCTGAAGGCCCATCTGGAGTGTTGCCTTGCACTCCAGGTGGGAGGGACCTAAGACGGAGCTCTCAGGGCATGGCTCTTGCCAATATGGGATCTCCAGAGCTGGAGAAGGGAGCTGGGTGACGAATCTGGCAAAGCCTCCCTCTGCCAGTCCAGGGCCTAGTGTCACTCACCCACAAGTCCAGCCTGCTGCAGGCCCCAGAGGGCAGCACCTGTTGTGAAGGCATTCCAGAGTGTGCCCACCACAGCATACGTGAGGATGGCACCCAAATTGTCAAAGAACAGCCGGCTAGGCATGAAATAGCCCGAGTCCAGCACAATAGGAGGCAGCAGGAAGAGGAAGAATGTGCCTGGCTCCAGCTGGTACTCAGCTTTCTTGGCCACAGCCAAGACAATGCCTCCAAGCACCAGTCCCAGCAAAATCAGCAGGCAGCTCTCAGGGACCAGCGATGTCACCTTCCGCGACAAGTGAAACACTACAATGCAAGAAGAGGGCAGGATGTATCAGCTTATGGGACACACACACACACACACACACACACACACACACACACTGGCCTTTAACCTCCCAGTCTTAAAATGTTATCTAAGGTCAGGAACCCTGACCCTGGGACCAAGGAGGAGAAAAGAACAGCAAGACTGCTAGAATCTCCAAGTTGCATGGCTACAAGCCCTCCACTGCAGCTAAGGTTGTCTGTCTCTTGGTGCTTCTGTCATGGTAACCTAGGCCTTTCTTGCTCTTTCCATTCTGGAGATGACCCCTCCTCTCTACTCTTATCCTCAGGGGACCTCACCTTTCTCTGATCTCCCTTATTCATAGCTATTATTTGAGCCTCAGCAAATGTTAGCTGGTATATTTTTATGCATAACATAGCTATTAAAATCAGGGCCTCTAGAGTCAGGCTGCCTGGGCTCGAAGACTAGCTCCTCTATTTACTAGTTCTGTGGCCTCGGAGTACATAACTTCACCTCTCTTTCAGTTTTCTTGTCAGCAAAATGGAAATAAAAACAGTCATGATCTCATAGAATTGTTGTGAGGTTTAAGTAAAACAATCTACTTGATAGCACTTAACCCAGTGCTCTATCACAAGCACTCAATAAACGTTACCTAATATACAGTGTCTTGCTCCCTATCCAGACCACAACACGTATTATATCTCCTAGCAGCACTGCAGACCTCCTAGCCCAATGTGCTTCTCATTACATAGGCTCAACTAATGGCACAATCGCTTAAAAAACATTGGGTGTAGCAGTAAGAAGATCTCCAGTTCTTCTGGCTCCATCACTTTCTAACTGTGTGATCTCAAGCTATTTAATTTACCTGAACTCTGGGGAAGGATGCCTGGCTGGCTCAGTCGGTGGAGCATGCCACTCTTGATCTTGGGGTTGTGAGTTTGAGTTGTGTATAGAGATTACTTAAAAATAAAAAACCTTTAAAAAAATGATCCTGGGGGGAAATAATGACAGACCTGCCCCAGGAAAAGAAGTGCAAGTATGAATTGGGTTTCTAGCATTATCGCCACTCCTATCTTTGCCCACTAAAATAAACTCTTTTGGCTTTCCCCTAGGCCCTGAGATCCTGAGTAAACACTTCTCCCCATACCTGGAGTGGCAGGTAGTGGAAGTGGCCTCCATGATAGCCTATGTGAGACCCAATGCCAAGACAGTGCCCTTTGGAAGCTATATGCAAAGGGCTTAGAACAGTTCCTGGCACACAGTGGGATCTACATAAATATTTGTCAAATAAAAGGGGAAAAAAGGGCACCTGGGTGGCTCAGTCGGTTAAGCGTCTGCCTTCGGCTCACGTCATGATCCCAGGGTCCTGGGATCGAGTCCCACATCGGGCTCCTCACTCTGCGGGGAGCCTGCTTCTCCCTCTCCAACCCCACTTGTGCTCTCTCTCACTATCTCTCAAATAAATAAATAAAATCTAAAAAAATAAAATAAAAATTAAAATTAGAAAAAAGGGGGGTGGGGGAAATCTCCTAGCAATGAAGCTGAGGGAAGGTATCGCTGAGCGTCCTACTGATCTCTCCCATCCTCTGTGAGGACTTGTGTGTGTGTGTGTGTGTGTGTCTGATGAAGAGGCTCTCTTCTTCTACCTCCAGAGGATGTGACATCCAAGTTGGCAAAGCACTACAATTTCTTGGGGAAACTACAGTTGTTGCTACATAAACCCTAAATAAAACAAGAACTTTCCTGCAACTCACAGACTCCTCAGCAAACCCAATTCTCGGCTCCCAAATCTGGGCTCCTCCCTCTTGCTCTCATTGCTGCCAGGCCCTAAGGTAAATTCAGTCAGATCTGCCCACACACATCCCTACCTTCAGTTCCCCTCTCCTCTCCTTCAGGGACTCCATTCCATCCTCACTTCCAGAGCATGCATCAACCCCAGCACTGCAATCCAAAACCCATCACCAAAGCCTGTTCTCAGGCAGAACTAGGTTCCCTGAAGGCCTTCAGGCCCCATTTCCCATTATTAATGAGCTGCAAGAACAGAGTGGCAAGTTCTTCTGTTCCTGCCCAGCAACCCCAGCCCCCACCCCCAGCAGAGTCCCTGGGGGAGTTGAGGGGCAAAGTCTAAGCTGTGTGATTCCTACAGGAAGACTGTATTGGTGAGATTGGAGTACAGCCTGTGCCAGCATAGCTGGGGAGTGAGTAGCAACGCTCAGCTATAATTAGTCACCCCCACAGCAGAGCCTGAACAACAGGGAGATGGAGGAGGGTCTCTGGCAGGAGGAGGGACCACTGGCTGCTCAGAAGTGGGGAGGAAGGGGCAAAGGCAAGGAAAAGCAGCTCTATTCAAGGCAAGGAATGTGAAGCACAACCTTTAATGCTGTGCAGACTGAAGGAGGTCGGATGTATGAAAGCACCTAGTGTAGGCAGCAGATAGTAAGTAAGGCCCTACGAAATGAAAGGGGTTTTTGTTTGTTTGTTTTTTACCCTGAAATGGGAAGAACGTAGATCTGAATTATGGTAGGGGGTCCTGCTAAGCACACCTAAAGAACGGTGCATCTGTAGGAGAGCAGAGGGGGGCCTAGAGGAAAAGTGGCAATCTAGTATCCCAAGAGAGTGGACACTTGTATGTGGTCTCCCGGGAAGACTGCTTCTGCAGATTCAGGATGCCTGGATTCGCTGGAGAACACTATCTCCACAATGTCTCCACACATCTTCGTTGCTGACAGAGGTTTCTAGGAGCCTGGAGACTGGTGGAGAAGAGGCCAGACCGAAGGGCTTACGGGGAGGAGGGGGGCAGAGAGGGCAAAGAGTGTAGGGATGGAGAGAGCTGGGGCAGCCCTCAGAGAAGGCCAATCCTCAGACCTCCCCCGCGGGGAGGAGAGGAGGGAGAGAGGGCGCAGGAACTCTGTGAGAGCCCGGATTTGTGGAATCGGAACCTGAGTCCTGGTACTGTGCAAGAAGCCGGCCCAGATCTGGGCACTAGGGGTTGGGGGCGGGTCCGCTGCCGGCCGCCGGCCTGGCGCTCACACACACGCACTCACCGATTTTGGCCAGGCTGGCCACCAGGATCCACAGGGCTACCAGGTAGGGCGCCTCCACCTCGTGCCACTGCCAGCGGAAGAGCGCCAGCCCTGCGGGAGGCTCGCCGGGCGACCCCGGCTCCTGGGTGGGCTCTTCGGTGGCGGCCGCCCCCGCCAGGGGCAGCCCGAACAGCGGTAGTGCGGCGCGCAGCATCCTGCCGCCTGCCTAGCGGCCCTCCGGCACCGCACGGCCGCCGGCCCCGCGTCGCTGCCGCGCCTACCGGCCGCCCCCGCGTCACAAGCACGTGGGGCCCGCTCCCCCCAATCCCAGCTCCGAAACCCCCAAGCCGGGTCCGGACTCCGAGACCGTGCCCCGGGCGTCCGGACTCTGGACCCCTGCTCCTCCCCCCTCTAAACCAGTCTGAGCTCTGGAAATCCCCCAGTCCAGCTCTCCAAGTCCCGAAACCTATTCCTTCGAGTCCGCTCCCCCAAACCTTCCCCAAAGCTCCCCTGACCCGGTTTCAGAGCTGTGAGCGGCCACAGCCCTCCGGAGGCGCGGCCGCGTCCCACCCGCCGGAGTAGGTAGCCCGTCGCGGGAGCGGAGGGGATCTGCGGGGGGCGCGGTCCAGGCCGGAGGGGCGCATCTCCTTCACCGCTAGTGCCGACCCGCTGGAGCCGCCGGCAGCTGGTACTGAAGGCGCGGGCCCCGACGCTGCCCCGTGCAGACGGCAGGGGGCAGTGCGCCGCCGCCCTCCGGAGCCTAGGACCCCCTTCGGGCCCCCGCCCAGACCAGCGCTGCGCACGCGCACTGGGCTCTCCCAGAAAGCCGTGATGGACAACGCCGTCCTTCCTCAACGTCCTCAGAAACTCCAAGGCCCAGACTGGGCCCAGCTCATTCGAGGCTGATGAGGAAGCTGTTCCTCTTTATCTCCCAAACCGAGGAGCACCCGGCCTCCCTTTCGGTCAAACTACAGGAAAGTCTCCTCACCTTTTCCATGAAAACAGAAGGGAACCTATTCTCTTTCCCTGAACTATGAGAAAACCCAGCCTATCGATTCCCTTCAAACTAAAAGGGATCCACTCACCTTTCCCCCCAAACCTGAGGGGCATTTGTCTTATCTCACCCCAAACTGAGGAGGACCGTCTCCATTTTTCATTCAAGCTGAGGGGCACCCATCCCACATCTTACCCCAAACTGAGAAAAACATGTTCTACCTCCTCACTCAAATTGAGTCATCACATCATTTTCCCAGAACTGAGGGGCACCCGTCTCTCTTCTTACCCCAACTAAAGGGAAATGATTCCACTTCTTCCTTCAAACTGAGTGGAATCTATTTTCACTTCTTGCTCCAAATTGAAAGGGATCCATCTCCCTGCTTTCCCCAAACGATGGAATCCCATCCACTTCATCCCTCAAACTGAAGGAATCAGGACCATCTCGTCCCTAAACTCTGGGAGACCCGCCGGCCACTATCTGAAGAAATTCCCGCCCCACCTGCCCGAATAACCCCTCAACAAGAACTCAGCCTCACCGCCACCAACCCCAATGAAAACCTCCCCGCTCTGGGCACGCTCTTGAAGGCGGGGTGTGGGGGTGTGGGGGGGTGAGCTCCGGTTTCCCGCCGGCAGAGCCAGTGAACTAACGAGATCACGATCACGCCCTCTGAGTGGCTGGCGGCAAGCCCCGCCCCCAGCAGTGGTTGCCCCTCCCGGCGCTGTCAGGGACTACTCTTGGCTCCACCCCCTTCCTCGGCCCCGCCTCCGCCTGGCCCCGCCCCTCTTCAGCAGCGTCCGGTCAGACCCGGCCCAGACAGCCGAGCTAGTTGAGTAGACGCCGCGGAGGGGCCGGGACCCTTCCGGAGGCGCGCGGCGCGAGCCAGTGACAGACGATGGCGGGCGAGGAAGACCGCGGAGACGGGGACCCGGTATCAGTGGTGACCGTGCGGGTGCAGTACTTGGAGGACACCGACCCCTTCGCATGTGCCAACTTCCCGGAGCCGCGCCGGGCCCCCACCTGCAGCCTAGACGGGGCACTGCCCCTGGGTGCGCAGATACCCGCGCTGCACCGCCTGCTGGCGGCGCCGCTGAAGGTGAGGGGGTCCTGAGAAAGATTGGGGGCGATCAAAGGTTCATGGCACCATGAAAGCCTTTGGGAGGTATCCCTCGGGGAGAGGCTGGAGCGGGTGCGCTTCTGCGGGAAAGTCTTGGACTGGGGACTTAAGGTCCACGCTGCCTCGCTTTCGCGGGACGCCTCTCAAGTTGAGGGAAGCTGAAGAAGGGAGATGGGAATTTGTGGTCTGAGCCACTCTGGCTGCCCCCTCGAAGTGAGGCCCACCTGGGGAGATGTTCGGGGTCCACTCGCTGCCTGTCTGCCTGGGTAACCGATCTGGATAAGGTGACGGTAGATGTTTGGGTGGTAGCGGACTATAAAAGTTGGAGCTGGGGAAGCACCAGCTTCCACCTGCTTCAGGTGAGGTGGGGCGGGACCAAAAGGAGGGGCGGACCCGGGGCGGGCCACTGGGGCGGCCAAGGCCTCGAGCGGTTTCTGGAGGCTGGATTAGGTCCTGCCGGATGGAGTGTTGCCTCGGTAGGTGCGGGCCCCGCTTGGGAGTGCCAGTAGAAGAGAGACTTCTCGGGGTGAGGTGAGTCTCCGGGAAGCGGTCCGGCCCGGGACACGCCGAGAGCTGGTGGCTGCACTGGTGGAAAAGCCCTTTGAGTCACCGCCCCCACCATCCCGTACTCCCGCCGCAGCCGGCCCACTGCTAGAAGGGAGGGGGCGGGCCGGGCTAATTTTAAACCGCCAGCCTGCCCTAGTTTGCCTGCGTCCCGGAGCCGACTCGTGCACAGTGCTGGGAGAGGCCCTTTTCCAGATGGTTGGCTCTACCTCCCCTCCGGCTCCCTGCGCTCAGCCCCCCGCAGGCAGCGCTTTCCGGCGCGCTGGGTTTCCGGACCAGGACTCTGGGAGGCGCACTACCACCCCCCAGGGTTCCCCGCCAGCCAGTACACACCGAGTGGTGAGGAAAAAGAGAGAGTTGGCGGGGGTGCCCTCCCCTGCTCCCAGCCTTAGCTGGGGGGCGAGTTACGCAAACTTGCCCCCTAGGCCCGGGGTCTCCCCTGGAATGTGCCCCGGGCGCCGGGCCCCCAGCCTGCATTCCTCGCTCTGCAGGCCAGCCCCGCCTCTGAGCGCGGGCGGGAGAGTTAGTGAGATTATTGGCGGGGGGAGTGGCGCGTGTCCGGGCAGAGCCCCGGCTTCAAGGCCACGGCTTGAAGGTTGTAGTACATTGCCCACTTTAGTGTTTTGATGCAACCCCTTTTTGTCCTGCCCTGTTCAAAGGGGCAGTCTGAGGTGGGCCTGGAAAGAGCACGTCCATCCCGAGGCCACCTTCAATTCAGGCTGGGCGCTGGAGAGGGGTGTTGAACCGAGTCTAGGTTCCTGCCTTCAGGCTCCTGGAACTCCTGGTGCTGAAATAAGCCTGGTGCATTACAGAGAACATAGTATTCCTCCCATCCCCCACTCTAGGACAGGACTTAGCCCTAACAGCCCTCTTCCCAATTAGGGGCAGATTTGGGAGGTCAGCAACAGAAAAGAACAACCCCTCTTCTTCCCCTCATTTAGGGACCCATCTCCCTGCTGCACCAGGTGCTCTGTACTCCTTAGCTAAAGACTACAGAGCTCAGATGGAGAATGTGTTAAGTGTTAAGTACGCCCCAGCTCAGACATTCCTGGTCTCCCCACCTTTAGGATCTCCCACTTGGTGTACCTCAGGACTACCATATCCCCCACAGGCAGGATATGCTGGTGGGCACACTGAGTTACCACTGTGCCTGTAGCCAGGATTCCCTGGGGCTGGCAGCTGTGCTAGGAATGGTCAGATACACTGTGATGTGCTCATCCCAAATATAAACTGTGACCACAGCCCCAGAATAGAAGGCTGGAGGAAGAAGGGCTGAGAATAGGATAGGGGCAGGGACATCAGAGGGCTGAGAGAGGGGGAGCAGGGCTCCTCCTTGCAGGAAATGTCAACAGCTCGTCCCTCCCCTCCTCCTATAAGTGTTTGCCCCAGGGGCACAGACATGACTCAAGCCTGCCTACATAGCCCTATAGAGGGGAGAGGTGGCCCAGAAACCCAGGCATTCCCATCCCAGGGCTAGAGCAGAAATAAGAAGGAGGGGATCACCACTCAATACATTATCCTCTGTACATCTGTCCAGTAGAGGAACAGGACACAGACAAGTGATGACATCTGCCCTCCCACTCTGGGCACTGACCTTCATCATCCCTGCAGACCCTGCTCCCTCCCTGGGAATTTAGGAAGGTCCAGCCTACTTTCACTCTGGAGCTCCACCCCACATACCCCATTGGGCTGGGCCTAGCCACTAGAGTTCCCCTGGGGGCTTCCTTTTTAAACCGTTTAGAGCTTTCAGATCTGAGGAGGCCTTGCTCATTTCCTCCTAGTCTAGGAGGAAGCTCCTTGCCACAGCCTCTGACTCATCTCCTGGCCTTGGGTGGGAGTGGGAGGGGTGAGGGGGGTGGGGAGGGTCCTGGCTGTGCCTTGGGCCATGCCTGGTGTCCCCAGGGGAATATTAGGAATATCTGTCTTCCCTCTGTGCACAAGCCTCTCCCAGCCCAGGGACCTGCCCCTGTCCAGGGGAGAACCTGACCCTCTGGCCCTGCATTTCATCTCTTTACCCAGAGCTCTGCTACATTTTGGTCTTCTGGGCAGTGCCTCAGGAGCTCCTGTCTGACACGTAAAGGGCCTGCCACGTGTGAGATAGCATTGACTTCTCCCTGGGCTCTGGGCACAGAGACCTGAGTCCTGCTCTGACCCTGATGCAAAGGCCCGAGGAGCCCCCTACTTCTAGCAGCAGGGATAGCCCTAGAAATCCGTCTGTCACCAGTAACTGTTTCCCCAGCTGTGGCTAAAGATTAGAGGAGGACAGGGATGGCACTGTCCTGGGATGTTTCTTGACCTTGCACCCTCCCTACTCCAGCCTCAGTTTACCTCTCAGGAGCAGTTGTGGCAAGGGGGCTAAAGTGTGAACCTGATCTGCTGGTACAGGGACCAACTGGAGGGATCCCAGAGGAGGTTTAAGGGTAAGATGGGGTGCTCTGGTGATGAACTGAGCCCTTTATTTCCCTGATATGGAGGTCTTTTGGGGAGACTAGAAGTTTGGGATGTGGACATGAGTTATGGCCTTCTCCCAGCTTTCTCTGGGGCCACCATCCATGTCCAATTTACTGGTCATTCTGGGGTCAGGCTGGGATGCAGCCTGGTGAGGGACCCCAGGACCTAGATCCTTACAGATGTAGGCATTGTTACCTTGGAGTGTATGATGCGTATGTGTTCATTTGTGTTCCCTTGCTACAACTTGGAGGACCAGTTCAGGGTATTTGCTGAGTCCAGAAAGCTGAGGGGTGGTCTTCAGGCCTTGGCAACACTTCATGCTCCAGCCCTCCCCCCCCCACACCTCCCCTCCAGGGTTCCCTGGAGCACTTCCAAAGTCCATCCACCCAAGATGTAGGTCAGTTAGCCCTGGTTCCATTCCTGGTTGTGCAGCCTGGGGCATATTCACTGAGTTTCTGAGCCTTGGTTTCCTCACCTGTAAAAGGATTGTCAGGAGAGGGGCACCTGGCTGGCTCAGTTGGTAGAGCATTTGACTCTTGATCTCAGGGTTGTGGGTTTGAGCCCCAATTTGGGCGCAGAGATTGCTTACGTAAATAAAACTTAAAAAAAAAAAGGGAACAGCAGGAGAATCAGACAACTAGGCAACCTGGTATGTGACACAGGGGAGGCATAACTATTATGGGTTTCGCTCCTCAAGGTCCATCCATGGTGTCTCATCCAGGAAGTCATGGTCTAGTTGGAAACCCAAGATAACAGTAGAAGGAGGGTGTCATGTTTAAAGTTTATATATTTGTTTGTTTGTTTGTTTAAGTACCCTCTACACCCAACGTGGAGCTTGAACTCATGACCCCAAGATCAAGAGTTGCATGCTCTCCAAATGAGCCAGCCAGGTGTCTCAAGGGTATAGGGTTTAGAGGACAGCAAAAGAAAAAAAAAGCAGTTAGCAAAATTATTTCCTAAAACGGGAGTCCTTCAGCATATAATTCTGCCCTCTTCTCCTTCTTTCCCTGCCCCTGGTGTGTTCATTCTCTCCTGATTTGCAGTTATGAAAAATATTGGGGCGTAGACACCATGGTCCCCTAAGTTTGGCCCTGCATTTAAAGCCATATGTAATGAGTTGGTTTAGGCTGTCAGAAGAGCCTGAGCCCAGAGAACCAAGAGAAAAGTGGGCTGGATGCTGAAGGGAGGGGCTGAGCCTGGGAAGAATGGAGAGGACTGTACTCCAAAACAGACACAGAGAAGCGTGCAAGACAAGAACCAGGAGGGAGTCAAGGATGTGGGCCTACACGGGCCCTGTGCTGACCCTCAGCACTGTCAGCAGGCTTATTCTGGCCTGGCCCAGCCCCAGGGTGTGAGAAACAAGCCCCAGAGGTTTGGCTCTCAGAAGGGTGACCCGAGCAAGGGGCCAGAGGTGTGAGGGACAAACACCACCCAGCTGGTAGGAAGTCTCTGTTCTTTGCTACCTTAGCCCACCCTCCCCCATCTCCACCCAGGACAGGCAGCTGGGTTGGGGGGTACCATCCTGGAGGCTTTGGGCTGACTGTTACCTCAGGACTCCTCTAGGGAGGCCACTGCTGCCACCATGGAGGGAAAGAGGTTAAACCTGCTCATCTGAGGAGGCTGGATGATGGAGCACTTGGCCTGCAGGACCTTACCCCAAATACATGCAGGCCTTCTGGAAGGAGAGGGCCGTTCTCTGCTCACTTGGGATTAGAGCACACAAGCGTGCTTGCAGGAGGGGAAGAGAGCCTGCTGGAGCCGAGCTTTCTGGGGATGTGCTTCTTGGACCTGTGCTCCAGCAGAGCATATATGTATACCGCAGACCACGAACCTGGGTGTGGAAGTACATACCAGGTTTAATCTGATCACCCCTCCAGTGTTCAGCTTTACAGCACTCCACCCCTCTCCTTGCTTAGCACTCATGACCCTTGTACTTCTACATGTATTTGTGGCCTTTTTCTGAGGCGAGCCTGCCTGCCTCCCCAGCCGGGCTGGAAGGCAGGAAAAGCAGAAGCAGTATCTTCTTCCCCACTATGTCTTCAGCACCTAAAACCAGCCTGATGCATGAATGTTTGAATGAGTGAGCTAGTCTATGTATGTGTGATCTGGGGGATCCCTGAAGGAATGTGTTGCTCTGGGGCTAGGGCAGGGTGTGTGGAGATGTTTCTCTAGGGTCCCAGAATCCTCTAGTCCAAGGTGGAAGGAGATGCGGGTGGGGTAGGCAGGCTGCTGAGTCATCATGTGGGAAGAGGGATCAGGAGGAATGTGGGGCTGCCCTCAGCTGAGCCGGCCCAAGACGGAGTACCCCAGCTCTGAGGCCTTGCCTCCGCATCTCAGGCCTGTTCCTGTTAGGCCCTGGAGAAGATGACTCTGCTCCCAGGGAGGGGAGAGAGGCCAGGCCCGCCCAAGGCGCCCAAGGGAGGGCAGGCAGCCAGGCAGGAAGTGGGACAGAGAACAGGCTGGAGTGTTTGTCCTGTGTCCCATGTCCCAGGCGAGACAGGGTGGGGGAGGGGGGCAGGAGGAGAGGGGGTGTCACCCAAGGGCCTCAAGGCTGAACTGCCAGGAAGGAGGTGGGTCAGGCTCTCAGGCATGAGCAGGGGCGCAAAGCAGAAACAGGGGTAGGGGCAGGAGCTGGACTCCCTTCCCCCCCAGGGGACCAAATGCAGCTGGAAGCCCTTGGACTGGGCCCAGGGCAGGGCAGGGCTGGCAGAACAGCAGGACGAATGATGGGATTGACTTCCCCAGTAAGAGGGAAGCCAGAAAACACCCTGCTTCTCCAGAGGTGGGCTCTCCCTGGGCCATGGTACGTCAAGGAGCAGGCCCACTCAATTCAAGGGGACTTTGTTGAGCCCTGCATACTGGCTCTGTGATACGGGGGAGGTGTCTTGAAGAGGCACAGTGCCGCCCTCAGACTCTGGAGTCACTCCACTAGGGCCTCTCTACAGGTACTTCTTAAGAGGCCAGTGTGACGCCTGGTGATGGTGGACGGGAGCCAGGCTGGAGGCGTGGTGGGGATACATGGGAAGCAGACAAGTGGATAGAACGTGTGCCTTGTACAATGCAGGTTTCAGGGACCCAGTGCAGACTGATGGAGTCAGACCCTAAAACCTGGTTTTCAACCTGGAGGCCTCTGAGACCCAGCTCACTAGGGGCAGGGCAAAGACCCTTAGGCCTAGAGGGACTGACAGCCTATGGATTACCCAAAGCTCCTCACGGTCTCAATTCAGGGAGACAACACACACACACACACACACACACCCCTCCCAGCTGGGTTCACACACACACACACACACACACACACACCCCTCCCAGCTGGGTTTGCACCAGCATTCGTTAACACGTTCTCCCTGGGCTTGACTGCTTTGTGGATGCAGCTTATCACCCCCAGGGCTGTGAACTTCCTCGAAAGCAGGAGCTCCTGCCCGTCTTTATTCCCCTTCCTTATTCATGTTCATTAGCTCAACAGTGTTTAGTGAGCACTTACTGTGAGCCAAAAGCTGTGCTAGGCTCTGCAGATACAGCATGAGGCAAGACAGACACGGTGCCTGAACCCAGAGAACTCATGGTTAGTGGGGAAGAAGAGTAGTGTATGGGACATTATCACGCTGTGTGGAAGGCCTCACAAATGGGAGCTACACACATGGGGTGGAATGGGTCGCGTAGCATTGGCTAGAGGAGTCCAGGAGAGCATTCCAAAAAACCATTACCTGATCTGAAACCTACAGAATGGGTAGGTGTTAGCTGGTAGACATAGCACGTACAAAGGGCAAGAAAGCCTGGCCCCTGGGGTGCGTGGGCGCTGCACATAGTAGGCCTGGGAGAGATGGCTGCCGACGGAATGCGTCGCTGCCGCGCACACCCCGTGGTATGCCACTCTGCCAGCTCTCTGAGTGGGAGGTGGGAGGGCATGGGGTCTCCGTACATACCCCTGCCACCTCTTTCCCCCAGCTGGAGGACTGTGCCCTGCAAGTGTCTCCCTCTGGATACTACCTGGACCCTGAGCTGTCTCTGGAAGAGCAGCGGGAGATGCTGGAGGGCTTCTATGAAGAGATCAGGTCAGAGCTGATGGGACCAGGAAGGCAAGGCTGGCCCCCACCCTTGCTTCTACCAGGGGCTGGCTCAGGTGTCAGCAGGCAAGACACCTGATCTCTAGCCTAGGCTGTGGGTTACCTCCTGCCACCCCAGGGGACTGTGCCAGGGGAATCCCAAGGCCTGGCCAGTGTTACCTGATGCCCGGGATGTGTGTGTGGGGTGGATGGGGGGCTCTTGCACATACCCTGAGATACCTATGTTTGCACAAACCCTCTTGTTGGGGAGGAAGGAGTTGGGCCAGTGTTGGCATGTGGGGTGGTCTTTAGCTGCCCTGGTGTGGGGGCAGGGACTCTGAGGAATGACCTGGAAACTGCTGACTAGGCTGCTTGATTCCAGCAAAGGGCGGAAGCCTACACTCATCCTGCGTACTCAACTCTCTGTGAGGGTCAATGCCATCTTGGGTAAGTGAATGAGGGCATTGGAGTCCAGGAATCCCCCTCCCCACCCGTGCTGGCTCAGTTTCTTTCAGGCCTGTGCTGGACAGTGAACAAGGCACATGGGAGACAGGATGCGTGGCCCTCCCCATTCCTATCCTGACCTCTCTTCCCAGGGCCAGGGCTGATGCTGCAGCTAAACCGCGATGGGGGTTGACCAGAGTCAGGGAGTGGAGGAGGAGGTTGGGGGTTCAAGAGTGCTAGAATATTCTTTGGTGGGGGATTGTGTCCCAGTAGAGGAGGGTGTCTGTGCCCCCTTGAGCTCTCCGTGCCCACCTACCCCTTGCAGAAAAGTTGTATGGCTCCAGTGGCCCTGAGCTGCGCCGCTCTCTCTTCTCACTAAAGCAGATCTTCCAGGTGAGGCCCAGAAGTGGGCTGGGGGTGGGCGTCCAGCCTGAGCCCTGCTTACAGTCCCCCGTGGTGTCCCCAGGAGGACAAGGACCTGGTGCCCGAATTTGTGCACTCAGAGGGGCTGAGTTGCCTGATCCGTGTGGGTGCTGCTGCTGACCACAACTACCAGAGTTACATCCTCCGAGGTTAGCCCCATCCCTCCCCCATGACCCCTGCCTTCAGCGACCCCTTTCTGACCTCTTCTTGTCCCTGTGTCCCCAGCACTAGGCCAGCTGATGCTGTTTGTGGATGGGATGCTGGGGGTGGTGGCCCACAGTGAGACTCTGCAGTGGCTGTACACACTGTGCGCAAGTGTGGTAAGTGGCCCTCCGCACAGCCACGCACCCTTCCCCACTGCCTCGCGCTGACCTCCGTCGGCTCTTCTTCACAGTGGGCTGGAATGAGTGAGACAGGCCCCTCTAAGCCTAGGAGGCCCTCCAACACCTGGGCCTGGGGCCAGGGCCTGTCTGCCTAGACTCTCCTCTCTGGTCCAGCCCCAGGAGCCCTTACCCCTCCCCAGCAGGAGCTAGCACAAGTCTGGCCCAAGCCCCACTCACATGTGGTGACCCCTCCCCCAGTCCCGCCTGGTGGTGAAAACGGCCCTGAAGCTGCTGCTGGTGTTTGTGGAATACTCCGAGCACAACGCACCGCTGTTTATCCGCGCAGTCAACTTGGTGGCCAGCTCCACAGGTGAGAGACTGTCCCTTCCTCCCCCACCATTCAGAGCCCTCTCTCCTACCTGTCCCTGCATGATCGCTCCCCTTTCTGTGTGTCAGGCTCTCTTCCTTGGGCCAATCTGGTGTCCATCCTAGAGGAGAAGAATGGCGCTGACTCTGAGTTGTTGGTGTACACAGTCACCCTCATCAACAAGGTGGGGGTGCCCTGAGAAGGGGGGAGAACCAGCTGCCAATTCTGGGCCCCTAAGGCTCCTAACTCCAGTCAGCCTTAGCCTCGCCCTCCCATCCCCACCCTCTAGACACTGGCAGCACTTCCGGACCAGGACTCCTTCTATGATGTGACAGATGCGCTGGAGCAGCAGGGCATGGAGGCTCTGGTCCAGCGCCACTTGGGCACCTCGGGCACTGATTTCGATCTGCGCACACAGCTTGTGCTCTATGAGGTAGGCTGGGCCATCTGGGCGGGACTGGAAGGAAGGGAAGAGGCGCAGTTCCCGCACCCCACCCTACCTGTGCGAGTCTCAGCGGCTTAGATCTGGGTACACCTCCACTAGAATGCCCTGCGGTTGGAGGATGGAGACATTGAGGAAGCCGCTGCAGGTGGGCGGCGGGAACGCAGAAAGCCCTCTTCGGAGGAGGGCAAGAGGAGCCGCCGGTCTCTAGAAGGCGGGGGCTGCCCTCTTCGCTCCTCCGAGCCTGGGTAAGAACTTGCCTTTGCACAAGAGGAGGGGTGGATCCGCCTGCAGTGGCCTTGTCCGTTAACAGGCCCCGCCTCCAGCCCTGCAGGCCCTGCCTCTAGCCGCACAGGCCCCGCCTCCAGCCCTGCAGGCCCTGCCTCTAGCCGCACAGGCCCCGCCTCGCCGACAGGCCCCGCCTCAAGCCCCGCGGACCCCGCCTCAACGGTAATCTCCACCTACTCCGCTGGCCCGGCCCTGTCGACCGGCCTGGCTCCCAGCCCCATGAGCCCAGCTTCTGGCCTGTGTACCTCGGTGAACCTCTTTCCTGCCATCTCCGTGGGGCCCTCAGCCGACAGCTCCAGCGAGAGGAGCATCTACAAGTAAGTAGGGAGATAGAGGCTGCCCCTAGAGTCCTCTCTCCAGCTGTCCCTCCACTCTGAGCCCCTCCACAGGCCCTCCGCCTCCTCTGCCCAAACTCCTCTGCCCAAACTCCTCTGCCCAAACGCGTGCTTTCTCTTTCTTTCCAGACTTCACCAAACTGCTCCTGTTTGGTAAGTGACTGCTGGGGGGTGGGGTTCTGCTCTGACTGGACCTCTTCCTCCTGCTGCTTGTCTTCATCTCTTTCTGGCATTCTGCCTGTCCTTGCCCCTTTGTCATCTATCCCCTTGCCCCCCTTCTTTGTTTCTCTGCCCCTATCTCTTGACTCTCTTGTTCTGCTCCGTCTTTGTCTCTTACTGCACCCTGTCCTGCTTCATGTCCGTCTCTCCCCTCCATTTCCAGTTTCCTCACGTCCTGCCTCCTCCACACCTCCCCTTCCCACTGGGGCTGGGAAGGAACCCCTGGTACTACTGCCCAGCTCTGTGTGGGTACAAGCTGCTGGGCTTTGGAGTGGAGCAGGCACCACAATTACCATCTCTTCCTCTCATCCCCCCCCACCCAGGGCCCCAGAGAGCCCACCTGTCCCTCAGTCCCCTACTGAGCAGGCCAGGCTGGAGTAAGTACAGAGGCCAGCCTGCCAGGCTCGCCATGTGCTCAGGGCTTCAGCAATGCTTCCCCCAGCGGGGGTTCCATGTGCCTCATGCAGCCAGAGCTGGGGGACTCTCAGGCCCTTCCTCTCCCAGACATATGCCTCCTCTGTTATCCAAGGGGAAGGGAAGCAGCTCATTGGGGTCATAGTGGTCCCTGTGCTTCAACAGTGACACCTTAACAGCTTCAACCAAAAATGAGGACACAGACTCCCAACCTGGGGCCCAGTCTCCCAGGAATAGGGTGGGGGGGTGGTATCCAGGGCGCTGTATGGTGTGGGGATAGAGGAGCAACCTAGGACTGAGGGAAGGGCAGGGACTGAGGGCCAACAGAGACTGGAGGGGCTGAAAAAAAGACACTGGATCACATTCATTATTTTAACATAAACTGAGTGCCTGTTGTGGTAGCTCAGTCAGTAAAGCATGAGACTCTTAAGCTAAAGCCTGTTGTTTACCGGGCCCTTTTCTAGGCATGGGTCATAGCTCTCAGAAGCTGCCAGACATGGGACAGCCTGGTGTACCCACTGGGACAGCTGTCCCCTTCCCCTGCTTTGAGGGTCCTTGTCTAGAATCAAGACAGTGAACATGAACAGCAGCAAGGTTGCAAGTTAGATGTTAAGCAGAACTTCTCTCCATATGTTGAACTGGGGATGCTGGGTTGGCATTGACCCTCCCCAGATATGGAGGATTGAACAGGGGCTGGCCTTAGGGGGTAAGTCCTGGGTCTGCTCAGCGCATGGACTGCTCCCTGTGTGTCTGTGTGTGCCTGCAGTTTGGGGCAGTGCCCAGGGCACAGCAAGGCATGTACACCACCCTGGGCTGGGGTGTGTCAGACACCCTCACTGATGAGCGCTTCCCTCCAGAGCCCGGTTCCTGGAGAATGTGGCAGCAGCAGAAACAGAGAAGCAGGCTGCACTGGCCCAGGGCCGGGCAGAGACATTGGCTGGCGCCATGCCTGATGAGGCCGATGGACACCCAGGTGAGTAGGTGGGTGGGCAGAATCCACTCATGTTGCCCTTTTGCTCCACAGAGGGCATGATGCTGACAGCTGCTTCTCTTTTCTAGATACCCAGGAACTATGTGGCTCCCCAGAACCAGGCCCTGCACCCAGAACCCCTGAGAGCCCTGCCCCCCGAGGTCTGCTCCGGGCCCAACGGCGCCTTGAGCCAGAGCCCAAGGCGCCACTGGCCCCACCAAGCCCCAAGGCTGAGCCCATTCAGGAGTTTCCTGTCCGTGTACCCAAGCTCTGCATCGGAGACCTGGACTTCTCAGACCTGGGGGAGGACGAAGACGAGGACATGCTGAATGTGGAGGCTGTGGAGGCTGTGAAAGGGATCCCACCCCCACCACCCCCACTGCCTGTGCTCTCTGGAGGTCCCCTGCCTCCTCCGCCCCCACCTCCCCCACCCATCAAAGGCTCACTCCCACCACCTCCACCTCCAGCCGCCCCCCTTCCTCCCTCAGCACCTGATGGTGTAGCCCTCCCCACCAAGAGGAAGACAGTAAAACTCTTCTGGCGGGAGCTAAAGCTGGTTGGGGGCCATGGAGGCTCTGGGAGCCATTTTGGGCCTTGCCCCACCCTATGGGCCTCACTGGAACCTGTAGCGGTGGACACAGCCCGGCTGGAACACCTATTTGAGTCCCGTGCCAAGGACGTGCTGCCTTCCAAGGTAAATCCACCCTCGTCTGCAGGGTAACCCCAGTGGAGGCAGGAGGCAGTCAGAGCTTAAGGGTCTGAACTGCCACCCATTTCCCACATGGGGGAACCGAGGCAAAGAAAGGCACCGAGTCTTGTCTGAGGTCTCTCAACAAGGTATCAGCAAAGCCCTAACTAGAATCTCAGCTCATCCCAAAGCCTTACACATCCCACCGCAGGTTGTGGGGTGACCACACCATCTGGCCATTTCAAAGGGGGCTTTAAGAGTGCCGTCTTATATTGTTTCCCCAGCTAGTTCCTTTCCCAATCTCATACCGCTCTTCTCCCCAACTTTAAAGAAAGCCGGTGAGGGCCGCCGGACAATGACCACAGTGCTGGACCCCAAGCGCAGCAACGCCATCAACATTGGCCTAACCACCCTGCCACCTGTGCATGTCATTAAGGCTGCCCTGCTCAACTTTGATGAGTTTGCTGTCACCAAAGATGGCATTGAGGTGGGGATACCAGCTAGGGGTATTGGAGGGAGGTGGGAGGTCTGGCCCTCTCCTTTGGTCAGTGGGCACGGGCTTGGTATTTCTACAGAGCACTCCCCAGACCCTGGGGATCCCCCAGATGACCTAGGGATGAGTCCAAACCAACTCCTGAAGCCTCAGGCCAGGACTGAGGGGACTATGTGGGGTGGTGGCTGCATCCTCAGAAACTGCTGACTATGATGCCCACGGAGGAGGAGCGGCAGAAGATCGAGGAGGCCCAGCTGGCCAATCCTGACGTACCCCTGGGCCCAGCTGAGAATTTCCTGATGACCCTTGCCTCCACTGGGGGCCTGGCCGCCCGCCTACAACTCTGGGCCTTCAAGCTGGACTATGACAGCATGGAGCGGGTACTTGGATTATGGGGGGGCGGGGCAGGAACGGGGGCAGGTGAGCACAAGGACCAGGTAGTTTGAGAGTCCCTCATCTCCCACTCCAGGAAATCGCAGAACCACTATTTGACCTGAAAGTGGGCATGGAACAGCTGGTGCAAAATGCCACCTTCCGCTGCATCCTGGCCACTCTCCTGGCTGTGGGCAACTTCCTCAACGGTTCCCAGGTGAGTAGGAGCGCACAAGGGCTGGCGGCCAGGGCTCTGGAGCCAGCCAGGCCCAGGCTCAGATGGGGTCCTTTCAGAGCAGCGGCTTCGAGCTGAGCTACCTGGAGAAGGTGTCAGAGGTGAAGGACACGGTGCGCCGGCAGTCACTGCTGCACCATCTCTGCTCCTTGGTGCTCCAGACCCGGCCTGATTCCTCGGACCTCTACTCAGAAATCCCTGCCCTGACGCGCTGTGCCAAGGTTAGCGCCAGCCAGAGGCTTGGCTGAGACCAGCCACGGCAATGAGGGAGCGCTGCTTCCTGGGGCTGGCTCTCCCTCCCTGTCTGGGCTATTGTGCCCGAGTGTGCCCAGCTAGGTGTCTGCGTGGACTGTGTCCTTGGCCAGAAACACTTTCCTCTGCTGGCCTGGCTACACACACCTACTGTCTTTGGGTCTCCATTTAGCCACCACTTCCCCCAAGAAAGCTTCCCTGTTCCCCCTTGTCTCCTGCATTAGACTGTGAGCTTTTGGAGGGCAGGAGGCAGGTCTTGGCTAGCTGGGTCCTTAGGGCCCAAGCTGGCTGGCCTGGCAGAGGCAGCTCGGGTGGTGCCCTTCTGTGGGGGGACAGCATGCATACCCCCTGCTTTTCCAGGTGGACTTTGAGCAGCTGACTGAGAACCTGGGGCAGTTGGAGCGTCGGAGCCGGGCAGCTGAGGAGAGCCTACGGAGCTTGGCCAAGCATGAGCTGGCCCCAGCCCTGCGTGCCCGCCTCACCCACTTCTTGGCCCAGTGTGGCCGCCGTGTAGCCATGCTGCGGGTGGTGCACCGCCGTGTCTGCAACAGGTGGGCACACGGGCCAGAGAGGCAGGAGCGCCACCACCATCGCTCAGACCCCACGCAGGACTCACCGTCCCTCCCTACCCTGGCCTGCTTAGGTTCCACGCCTTCCTGTTGTACCTGGGGTACACGGCCCCGGCGGCCCGCGAGGTGCGCATCATGCAGTTCTGCCACACGCTGCGCGAGTTTGCACTGGAGTACCGCACTTGCCGGGAACGGGTGCTGCAGCAGCAGCAGAAGCGTGCCACGTACCGTGAGCGCAACAAGACCCGGGGCCGCATGATCACGGAGGTGGGCACCCTTCCAGGTTGGGACTGCCACCCCCTGTGGCTTCCTTCCCCCGCTCCCAGCTCATCCTTCTGTCCTCTGCAGACGGAGAAGTTCTCAGGTGTGGCTGGGGAAGCCCCCAGCAACCGATCTGTCCCAGTGGCTGTGGGCAGTGGGCCAGGGCGGGGTGATGCCGACAGTCACGCCTGCATGAAGAGTCTGCTGACCAGCAAGCCAGAGGACATGACACATGGCCGCCGCAGCAGAGGTGGGACCTGGGGCCACTGGGAGCAATGGGCTTTGGGGTCACCTTGACCTGACATCCCCATCTGGTCTCCCTTAGGCATGGCCCAGAGTGGCTCCCCAGTCATGCCGACAGCAATGGGGTCCTCCACTGCACCCCCAGAAGAACCCCCAGGCTCCAATTTACCCAGTGACACTTCAGATGAGATCATGGACCTGCTGGTGCAATCAGTGACGAAGAGCAGTCCTCGTGCCTTAGCTGCTCGGGAACGCAAGCGTTCCCGGGGCAACCGCAAGTCTTGTGAGTGCTCCCCAAATTCCCACTACCCGCCTTAATCCCATCAACCCCCTTCCAACCCTGCTCTGTCCTTGCAGTGAGACGGACACTGAAGAGCGGGCTCGGAGAGGACCTGGTGCAGGCACTGGGACTGAGCAAGGGGACTGGCCTGGAGGTATGAAGGCGCCGCCTCCAGGACACCTACCTGTCGGGGCCCCAGTCTGCAGTACAAGAGACCAGAGAGTGAGGAGGGATCAGCAGAATTTGGGCCTCTTCTCAACCCCAGGGCCACTCTGCCCAGTGGACAGTGCCTTGAGCAGTATTAGCTGTGAGTGCCTGTGTGTGTGCGTGCGTGCGTGTGTGCGTGTGTGTACACGTACTTGTATGAGCTCCCTGAATACGTGGAGTATAATAAAGTTTTCCTAGCCAACCCAAGAGCATTTTCCTTCCTTCGAGGTACCCACCACACTTGGTCTGTAGCAGGAGGCTCATACTGGCTACAGTACAGCAGGACTGGCTCTCCCTGCCTCGCCCTTCATTATCACCCGCACAGCCGTTAGCCACATTCTGAGCCATTTATTCAACAATCCTATACCTTAGACTGCTTTTGGGCCCTGGACTAGGCAGGCCCTCCCTGCTCCTGGCATGGGGACCATGCAGCCTGTGACCCAAACGTCAGGGGCTATAACCGCTTCATCTGCCGCCGCTCCTGTCGGCGCTGCCGTTTCTCATTGTGCTCTGGTGCTGGGGTGCCACCGTCGGCTGTGAACCAAGGGCCCAGCACATTCACCCAGAGGAGGTAAAGGGCCCGGCCCGGAGCCTAGGACAAAAAAGGTAACTTGAAGCCAGATGCAGGAAATGAAAGAAGAGAAGGGTTAAATGCTCTAGCCTCTTCTTGGGAGCCCTACAGTCCACGCACCAGAAGCCAGAAGGACCAGATGTAGAGGGAGAAGCAGCTGAGCACCTGCACGATGGCTGTCAGTAGGATCACATCCTTAAGGTGCCTGTGGATAGAAGGGAGGCTGCAAGGGCCAAAAATAGTAGATGGGCCCCAGTTCATCTCCCTTCTACCCTCTTTAAGTTGCGGGCAGTTGTGGGTCTTGGGCTATCTGGGCCCCAACACCCCAGCCCCGGGGCCGCTCACCTGGGCTGGCAGCGGGGGACACTCACTCTGCCATGCCCTGCTCCATGTTGAGGTCCATTCCACCATCCATCAGGGCCCCATCCTCAGAAAAGGCTGCCCGTGCCATCGAGCTCATAGAGTGGTAGCTGGCCCCATATACTGCCAGACTAAAGGCCAGGGCCATCTGCAGAATAAGAATGGTATCAAAGGCCAGCCAGTAATCCTATATGCTCATCCACTTCCCAGGATAGGGGACACTTACCCAGGCCCAAAATGAGGCAGATGAGTAGAAGAACACCAAGGTCACAAGACAGTAAATGGCCTGTAAACAGATATATGATCAGGCTGGGATCAAAAGCTACCCTAAACCACGGGCCTTCCTCGACTCTGACCAGGAGTTAGGCCAGCTGGTGGAAAGAGACAGGCTGTTTCTCATAGGGTTGGTGGGAGAAAGGGGTCTGTTCCCTGAGTCCCCAGACTCGCCTCTGACGTGTCAGCCCAGGAAAGAACGCCCTGTGTATACGGGATGGGAAGGATGGGCTCAAGTCCATCTGAGACTCAAACGCTCCTTTCATTTTTGGTTGTTTTGTTTTGACTACTCAGCACTTTTTTGGGGCCAGGATCCATTCTCATTTTTTTTTTTTAATTTTTAAGAATTTTTTTTAAAGATTTTATTTATTTGACAGAGACACAGCGAGAGAGGGAACAGAAGCAGGGGGAGTGGGAGAGGGAGAAGCACGCTTCCCGCGGTGCAGGGAAGGACCCTGGGATCATGACCCGAGCCAAAGGCAAACGCTTAACAACTGAGCCACCCAGGTGCCCCTCATTTCTTTTTAATTGTAGTTTTCTTCTGGAAAACTACACATGACTGTCACATACCACCACGCCCACCCACACCCACCCCCACCAGAGCTGACTGTGGGATCTCGGGTGGGCACAGAAGCAAGGAGGTAGGTACTTACATTGGCCCCCAGTATGATCCGCAGATAGAACTTCAGAGTCTCTCTGTTCTCTTCAAATATCTGCTTCTTCCCTCTCGTGCCCACTTTGCCCTTGGGCTGCAGAGGGATGGTAAGGTGCTGTCAGAGCCCTCCTCAGCCAGGGTCCTCCTTACCCTCCCCCAAGTCTGGTCAGGTACAGAATTACACCTGCACCTAAGCCAGATCCCCACGTGCTCAAATCAAGCACAATCCTTGGGATGCCCACCCCTCCTCCCGTCCATCCTGTTTAGGGCTGACACCATCTGTGCAACACCCCTACCGATGATCGCCTCCTGCTCACCCTGGAACAATCCAACACTAGGCTGATATCTCCTGGCTCCCCTGGTAAGGTCCAGCTTTGGGATGACTACCCCTTCAAGGGGGACTCCTGAGTGGCGCTGAATGGTGCGCGCCTCCGGCCTCTGCTGGAGTAGTCCAGATCTCGGCTGACGCCCACCCCTTTCAGGCCCCTAAGGTCTCCGACCAGGTCTGGTACAGTCTGGTACTGACGCCCACTCCCCTCCCGCACCACTTCTGGTATGGCTGTGCGCCGCTCCATTCCCCCGCGCTAGCTCTAGTAGGGTCTGGCCACTGCATGGCGCCCCCCTCTGGCGGACCGCTTCCTTTGATATCCTTCCTCTGTTTTCAGTCTCCCGGCCCCGGGAATCCTCTACCGTTGCGAACCCCGCCCTACCCGCCCTCCTTACCGCCATAGCGCGACGCAAACACCCAGCGAGAAAAACAAGGGAGAGCGACCGAAACCGCGGTCAGTAGGTACCACATCGGCAGCACAGGCACTTCCGGTGCAGACCCAAATCGTCACAACTGTGACGGAAGTGGGGGGGGGGTCCACTTCCCTCCCAAGCCCCTCCCCCCCAGTCGGTAGGACTACACTTCCCAGAAGGCCTTACACGGGGGCGGAGGCGGCGGGGATGCGATGGCGGAGTCGCTGCCCCTGGAGGTGAGAGGAGGCCGCCCTCAGGCCTGGCTTGGGACAGGCTCCGCCCTCGGGGTCCCGGGCTGGGGGGAGGGGCTGTCAGACAGCTCGCCAGGCTCCCCCCGCCTGGCGGAAACGACCTGCCCGAGAGATCCCAGGACCTGCAGGCTATGGGTAACGGCCCTGCCTTTGGGCCACCCTGTACCCTTAGCTTGGGGGAACCGTCCTCTCCTTCCCCTTCGGCCCCAGGAGATGGCTGCCCTGTCACCTCAGCGAGGACAGGGTCTCTGCCTATTCCCTTCTCTAGCGATGGCCGCCCCTCCCCCTCAGTTCTGGAAGATGACCGTTCCATCCCCTCGTCCCCGAATGGTAACCGATCTTATCCTCCTTGGCCCCTTGAGATGATCACTCCATTCCCTCTGCCCCGAAAGACGGCTGCCCCCTTCCCCTGGCGGTGGGAGACAGATTGCCCCTCCCATCAACTCCGGCCACAGTCGCTGGATTACTTCACCCAGGACAGGCCTGCTTCCCACTCCCTCAGTCCCTAGTGATGGCTGTCCCTACCTCCTTCACCCCATGGGATGTTTGCTCCTTTTCCTTAGCCTGGAACAAGACCACTCTCCCGCCACTGGCCGGAGAGAGAGAACAGATTTTGTTCCCAGTGGCCTCTTGGGATGGCCTCTCCGTCCCTTTTGCCTTGAGAGTTGGCAGCGCCCTCCCGTTGCCCACGGGAGACAAGACACCCTTTCCTCATTGGCCCTGGAAGGTGCTCCTTCCCCTTAGCAAGAATAGGGCAGCTCCCACCCCCTTTAGCCCCCTACCATGCATCCTTTATCTTCTAGGCCCCAGAGGATGTCTACTACATAAATCCCAGGAATGACCAGTCATATCTCAGTTGTAGCCCCTTAGGATGGGGTTCATGGAGGGTGACTCCATCCTTACCATTGCCTCCTCTTCCACCTAGAAAAGCCACCCCCTTCTCAGCTCAAAGAATCATGCTCCCTCTCCTCAGTGAGGACAGGTTTATTGCCCTCTCCCGTTGCTTTTTGGGTTGGTTGCCAAGCCCCAGAATACAGGATGGCCACTGTCTTAACTTGGCTCAGACAGGCTTCCCTGCCTCCCACAGGGTGGGGGCTTAGTCAGTCCCAATCCCATCAGTGTTCTCTTCCGCCTGTCTAGCTTTCTGGCCCTGAAGGCAGCTCTCCCCAGGCCTCTCAGTAATGATCTGTTTTATCTTCCCCACTCCTTCCCTGAGCAAACCTTTGGTGAAAATTGAGGTAGAGGGCTTTGATGAAAATAGAGATAGAGCACTGTCCATCTTTAATTCAAACCAGTAAGTATTGGCTGAGTACCTTTTGTGTGCTAGGGATCAAAGAAAGGAAGAAGAGGTTAGAATGGGCTGGTGAGGTCAAGGTTAAGAAAGGGCATTCCTGGAAAAAGGCCTACATAGGCAAAAGGTAATAGACATGGTATGGTTGTAGGACAGTGGGAAGACTGAACTGGGGAAGCTCTGGGATCAGGGGTCCGGTCAGGCATAGGGCCTGGCAGGATCTTGCTTAGGGTCTTGCTGACCCAAGAGAAGAGATTTTGTCCTGAGGGTACTGGGGTACCCTGAAGGTTTTCATCAGGGATGTGCTAAGACTAAAAGCTGTTTTTTAAGGAAGCTAACCTTGTCACAGTGTGCAAAATGACTAGCAAGGCTGAGCCTGGAGGCAAGGAGGTCAGGTGGGAGATTGTAGAAAGAACCCAGGTCTGGAGTGATAAGGGTCTGGGCTACTGAGGTGCTAAAATTTCAAAGGTAGAAATATTAGTAACAGCAATCCAACAACCATTTATGGAACATCTACTAGGTATCAAGCACACCATAACTATTATATATAGTATGGAAGCTGAAGCTCAGAGAGGTCAGTTACCTTGCCTGAGGTCACATAGGTCACACAGCTTGGAAGTAGTAGAGCTGGGATCTGCATGAGTCTTAGTTACCCTGGCCTAAGCCTGAGCCGTACACCTGTATCTGACAGCAAGGGACAGAAGAGCATGAAGAGTACAAAGTATTATCCGGATCTTCAGTGAGATGCACTATTGGCATTGAAGCTCAGGTGCTGGAAAGTTGGGAGGAAGGGATGCTTTGGACTGAGAATATGAATTTTGGTTGAGATGAAGGTGATAGTAAGACATTTAGATAATGGATCCTGTGGACGATTGGCAACACCAGACTAGCACATGAATGATGAGACAATATGCGGATATTGAATTGTTGCTTATTGCTGTAGAGGTAACTGTTGAAGCCATGCAAATGAATTTACTATCCTAGGAAGTAAACAGATTGAAAGACCCAAGTCTGAGCCATGGGAGCCACAGAAGAATCCAGAAACGGGGCAGTTGGAGTTGGAGA